ATAACATGTAAGTTTAAGTTATTTCAATTCAATAAGTTGTATATTAAAGAAAATAACGATCTGCTAGTTATTAATTATTAATTAATAACTGGTAATTAAATTAATTTTTCGAAACTTTTAACAACCTTTTATGTTTTTTTTTTTAATTGTAGGAATAATGTCTTACTCATCAAGTGATCAAGAAAATGAGATTTTCGAAGAAATGATCGACCAACAACTGGATGATTTCATCGACTCTGTTGTTGACGTTCAAAGGACCAAGCCGAGGAGACGTTACATAGAAAGAGAGCGAGAACAAGGACACAACCAACTATGGAACGACTATTTCGCTGAGAATCCTACATACACACCTCAAATGTTTAGGAGGCGTTTTCGAATGAACAAGCCTTTGTTTCTTCGCATTGTCGATCGTCTCAGTAATGAGGTTCCCTACTTTGAGCAAAGAAGAAATGCTCATGGAAGGTTGGGACTTTCTGCACTTCAAAAATGTACTTCAGCTATACGAATGCTGGCATATGGTCAATCCGCAGATTCAAATGACGAATATCTCCGGCTTGCGGAAAGCACAGCCCTTTTATGTCTGGAAAAGTTCAACGAAGGAATAATACATTTGTTTGGAGATGAGTATCTAAGAAGACCTACGGCAGAAGATCTTCAACGATTACTCGATGTTAGCGAGATTCGCGGGTTCCCAGGGATGATAGGAAGCATCGACTGTATGCATTGGGAGTGGAAAAACTGCCCAACTGCTTGGAGAGGGCAGTACACACGTGGTTCGGGTAAGCCGACAATTGTCTTAGAGGCCGTGGCATCACATGATCTTTGGATATGGCACGCATTCTTCGGATTACCAGGTACCCTCAACGATATTAATGTTCTTGACCGGTCACCAGTGTTTGATGACATCTTACAAGGTCGAGCTCCGAAAGTTAATTTCAAGGTCAATAACCACAACTATCGTATGGCGTACTACCTTACCGACGGTATTTATCCTAGATGGTCAACGTTTATCCAATCCATCTCACTTCCTCAAGGGGACAAAGCACAACTATTTGCTGAACGTCAAGAATCCACAAGAAAAGATGTCGAACGGGCTTTCGGAGTATTGCAATCGAGGTTTGCAATCGTTAGAAACCCAGCTCTACTATGGGACATTAATAAAATAGGAAGGATTATGAGAACTTGTGTCATACTCCACAACATGATAGTAGAGGACGAACGACATTCATATACTCTCTATGATACATCTGAGTTCGAGACAGGGGAGTCAAGCAGAAGTGCTGAGGTTCAAACGACAACATCTTTGAATGCCGGTAATATGCAGGGCGTTCGCAATGAACTTCGAGATTCACAGACACATGCTCGGTTGAAAGCTGATTTGGTCGAAAATGTTTGGCAAAAGTTTGGTAATCAGCATTAATAATCTTTTGTATCTTCACGAATTATCAATGTATTGAATAAAAACTTTTATAAAATCAATAAAAATTTTATTTTCTATGTTTTTCACTTCTTCAAAAATTATTTAATTAATTTTTTTGGTCAAACATTCTAATTATATTCAATATATTTTTTTAAAAAAATTATTAAAAATATTTCAAAATAAAAAAAAATATTATTTTATTCCTATGAACCCCAACGTCGGGTTCATTGATGGAAGCGCACATTTGATCCGGGTTCAACACTATTCATGGTCCCACCAAAAAAATAATAAAAAAATTTTGTGAACCCCAAGGGGGGGTTCACTAATGTGGTTGCTCTAACACTCTAAAGCTCACTCAATTCTCTTTGTGAATCTGTGATGTTGCAATCTTTCAGCTAAAAGAAATTCATTATTTATAAATGTAACGTGAAGTAAAATTTTAAGAACTAAGCTGAGATCCACAATTTGTTGAAAAAAAATTGTTGATTTTTTTTTTTACTAAAGTATCTATGATTCTTACAATTTTGGAACCATATGTCCATATCCATGAACCATGCGTGAGATAAAGAAAACGAGTATACACATTCCTTCTTTAACTTTAGTTTCTGGCATATGAACACGTTGAATCTAACTTTCATATCAATATAACCTATGATCTTGAAGAAAGAAAAATTTAAGTAATAAGAGTTATATTGTCTCTCACCCCCACCCC